TCCAACTGTTTTCTTTCCGTAAGACTTCCAAGGATTTACAGCTAAAAGCTAAAAAAAAAAAAAAAAAGAAAAAAAAGAAAACTTAAAACGTTGGGGCATCCTGTGGCTTGCCTCTTGTAAGTGTTGGAAGATGAAGGCTGGGTGGCATCTTTCAAGCCATGTGAGGTGGTGGGGAACAGAAGCCCAGGAAGTCCCAGAGGAAAAGAAAAACAGAGCTATCAGGTGGGCCAAAGGCACTCGGCAGGGGGCCGTGGGTGCCTGTCAAACCGGAATGGTTATCTGGTCTGGCAGAGCCCAGCATCTTGGGTGGCCAAATAAACCTCAGATACCGTGTTCCCAGGGACTGGGTGTGGGGGAATAGTGTCCTTTCCCCAGAGTCTGTCTCATGTCCCAGAACTTTCCTCTGCCAGAGGACCTGGGCTGGAATGGGCTTGTCACCTGAGCCGCTGTCCTTTTCTGGGACAGGTTGACGCCCAAGATCCCAAGAAAGCAGGCCCACCCATGCAGATGCCCGCATGTGTGCAGCACACGGTGAGAAGGGGGATCTTCTGGGTGGCAGAGATGCCCCAGGCAGGTGCCCTGGAGTCCTGGGGTTAGAGACGGGGGTATAAACTGTGCACCAGGTGGAAAAGAAGCGGTGGAAGCGGGGTCTGTCTTGGAGAGCCGGCTGGTTCAGGAGGGCAGATATGAGCCTCAGTTTATAAACTCAGAAATATAAGAAATAGAACTTGAATTTCTTAAAACTCTGAACAGCCTTCCATAGGCATTGCCTCTGCTGTCAGATTGGGGCCGGCGTTGGCATTGGCAGCTGGGCAGTGAGCTCCCCCGGCCTGCGTCACTGGTTCACACTGAACTCCTTGGAGACCTTTATCCAAGCACCGCTTTGCTCTCCTCATATGGTTTACCAAATATGTTGTTTGCTGTGCATCTCAAGAGCCTTCTTTGAAACTAAAATAATCAGAATTTATGATTCTATCCCTTTCATTTTTGCTGGATTGCATCGACTTCAGTGCAGTAAATCCCATAGAGACACACTAACCAGGTGAAGAGAGGCTGAGAAGGGCGAGGTCAGATGGTGTGGGAGAGGCAGAGGTGGACATTGGTCAATATCTCAACAACATTACCACACCACTCTTGCTTTGGGGACTTTCCTGCCCAGAACTCTAGTTCCCTCTGACCTATCATGGCACTCCTCCCCTTTCCCAAACAAGTTGGTAAATTAAGAGTACATATCATCTTCCATCCTCCATGGCAGCAAACATGTAACCAGGCATTGGTGGGGGTGAGTGTCTCTGTTCCTCTCCACCAGCAAGTCCTGCCTTTGCAATGGCCAGAACCCCTTGGAGAGTCAGGAGAGCGGGGAAGCCAACCCAGTATTGGAAATGACTTGAATGGTACCATACCAAGGGGCTGCCATTTTGGAATCCCCAAAGCCATTAAAGTTAGTTTAACTGAGTCCACATCTAGGCAGTGTGTGGTGTGGACAGAGCCTCCAAAGGCCCCAAAGTCAGGGAGATTCCAGATTAAAGATCCGTCCTACGGGTCAGTGATTCTGGGAAACTTGTTTCATTTCTCTTTGCCTCATCTGTACATGGACATGGACATGGTTGTGAAGATAAGGCACAGTGATGTTCATAAGGCCTTTAGAGCCTGTGTGGTGCTGCTGACAGTACGTTCTCTCCCTTTGTCTTAGGAAGTCCTCAGAGGATAGAGCTGTTCCATCTCTAGGGCTCTGAGTCTTTGTTTAATGCTCAGAATTCACCCAAATGACCCTCCAATAACTGAAACCAAGCAAACACAGAGGAAGACTCTCTGAGACGCTCCTGCCCTTCCTTGACTCTGGCATCTGTGTAACTGGGTGTCCCTTGGCACAGACCTAAGCATAGTGTCACTCAGTCTCTTGCAATGCCCTGCATTATAGCGTAGGTGAGAGTCTCTCTCTGGTCAGAAATGTTTCCTTATCCAGTATCAGTTTCTTCAGCGGACTGGCTCAGTTCCATTTCTCATTGCTGTGGACACTCACCTAACACGAGTACAGCTGTAACACTTGAGAGGGAAATGCCCAATAAAATTCTTGCCTTTGAGCGAGCCCACTATAGATTGAAACCAAAAGTCTGCAGGAAGAATGATGGGGAGTGACTTTTTCCTTTTGAGCTACGGAGGGAGCTTTTATGATCCCAACGACAGCTTCTCTGAGGCAGAAAGCTGGGTTTTGCAGCCTTCTAAATTCAAATGATCAATGAGCTTTTTGTGCATTTGGGGGTCAAGGTCACTTCCCAGAGCTCTTCTGCTCTGAGGGCAAAGAGGGCTGGGATCACAAGGGAAAGGCCAGCTTTGTGAGACCAGAGAGAAGAGCCTAAGGCTTGGGAAGCCAGAGCCTGAGAGGACAACAGGGTCATTTGTACATAAGACCATTCTTCTGTTTGTGTACGGACCTCCAAGTTATATGTGAGGTGTGTGTCTTTGGTAGAGGAGTGAGGCTTGTAGGCCACCTCGCCACTGGCCTATCTGTATCCTGGGTTAGAGGACAGCAGCCCGGCAGGGTGGAGACGAGGAAGCAGGGGGCTGAGCAGGTGAAATTTCCATCATTCATTTTTACCTTAATGGCCTGCTCTTAGTGTGGGGGTAATGAACTAATAATTATGCCACCTGTGGCTTCAACTGTGTGGATTTTGCTTCCTTTCTTGGGGCTGTGGGGAGCCCAGGCAGAGGTCTTTAAGGACTGGCTCATTTTTTTTTTTTTTGCCAAGCTGTTTTCACCCTTTTTGTACCAAGTAGAAGAGGCGGTATCTGGCCCAAGTTCCCTGCAGACTCGGGACTTGCCATGGAGCTGATCGCCGTCCCCACCCAGTGGATACCAGCGGTGGCGAAGGCTCCAGGCTCGGAGAGAAGGCTGAGCTCACAGACATGGTGGCTGGAGCTGGAGGCCACTAGCACCCTCCTCTCCCAGACCCAGGCAACAGAGGCCAGAACAGGATGGGCGAGTGCTAAGGGGCTCAAAGCCAGTCGAGGTGGAGATGGACCGCAGCCCATGCCCAGATGCATGTGCGATTTTTGAGCTAAAAATCCAGTGCTCGTGTCGCCCCCTCATTACAAGGGACGACTGCGTGTGAGGACTTCACGTTTGCTGTATCCACCCTGCCCCGCCCTGCTCTGTGCCCCAGGAGACTGACCTCCACACACTGCCCAAAGCTCTCCCTCCCGTTCTGCTTCTGGCTGGCTCTGAACAATGGTGAGTTTTGATGGGATGTGGAAGAGAGAGGAGGGCAAAACTGGGGTTGTCACTACCCCGCTCTCTCCCTCTGTGTGTCACTGGTCACTGGCAGATGCTCCTTCAAGGGCGGCATTGAGCCCCTATGAATGGCATTCTCGCCAGGATTTCCCTACACCTGCCCCTACCTTGTAACACAATCCCTTTTCTAACTCCCTCTGAATGACCTCATTTGACAGTGCCATCCACTTCCTGCCAAGACCTTCACTGAACAATCACTGGAAGTTCACTGGGAGAATCTGAAGATGGCCATGGATTTGCCTAACCCTTTGGCTTTGACACTCCTTAGAAGCTTCCTAAGCTCTTGAGGGGGAATTTGGGGTTTGGAGAGGATGGACAACTCCGTGTTAGTCGCCTTTTTGTCCATATGACAAAAGACCTGAGGTAAACAACAGAAAAAGGAGGAAATATTTATTTTGGCCCATGGTTCCAGAGATTTCAGCCCATGACCTGTGGCCTTTGGGCTTGTGGTGAGGCAGTATCTTCTGGCAAAGTGTGCCGTGGGGGAAAGGGGCAGCCAGGAAGCAGAGAGCCAGGGAGACAGGAGGGGCCCGCCCCAATGGCCTGACTCCCTTCCACTAGGCCCCACCTCCGGAAGGTCACATCAGCTCCCTATAGCGCCACCCGCTGGTGACCAAGCCTGAATGTGTGGCCTTCGGTGGACATAAACCATAACAAACTCTGAAATAACCACAGGAACTAGTAAGAGCCTTTCCATTCTCTCTCTCTTTTTTCATTCATCATCATTATTGTTGTTAGCGTTAAAATATGAATGTCATGTAACTCCCTTTTGACTACAAGCAAATAAAACAATGCAGGTTGAGTAACTCCATCTCTCTTGCCTGGTCACCAGTTTTTCTCTGAGTGACCAGTAGGATGGCCCGGTACACTTTCTTCTGGTCTTTTTCTAGGTATTTTTGCAAAAATATCACACATACACACACACACACACACACACACACACACACACACACATGCACACACTGTAGACTGTAGGCACCTTCTGTCTGGTTGACAGTGCGTCATGGTCTGAATGCTGTACTCCCTAATACTCACATATTGAAACCCTAGCCCCCAAAGGGATTCTATTAGGAGGTGAGGCCTTTGGAAACTAATGAAGGCATGGGATTCATGACCTTGAAAAAGAGGGCCAAGAGAGCTCTTTTGTTCCTTCTGCTATGTGAGGACACAGCAAGAGGTCAGCATTTTGCAGCCCAGAAGAGGGCCCTCACCAAACCTGACCACGGCGATACCCTGACATTAAACTTCTGCCTCCAGAACTGTGAGAAATACGTCTCCATTGTTTATAACCTCTCAGCCTCTGGTATTTTGTTATATCAGCCTGAGCTGATGAAGCCCATTTAACCCACAGGTTCTCACGAGTACCTTATTCTTTTTCCACTGTAGTATGATATTTCACACAATGGATCATGAACTGTTGAAATATTCTGCTGAGTCTGATGGGTAGATTTCTTGTAATTTCATTTTTATTAATAAGATTGTAATAAATACTCTAATGTACACTGTCACTTACTCTTGTATGTATGTGCACACCCTTATACACAAAGAAATATACAAATGCACACATACACACACGTTCACACACAAGTGGGTATTTCTGTGGGATAGATATTGAAATGTAGAACTCCTAGTTTAAAGGATATCTATAATTTAAATTCGGTGAATCTGTCAAATGAACCTTCAAGGAGGCTACACAAATAGTTTTTGAGAGCACCTTTCCTTACATCTTCACTGGCTCTGTATGATCAACCAGTTAAATTTTGTTGATCAGATAGAAAAATTAAGAAACATGTTTAAAATGCTTACCTCTGTAACTACTGTGAGACTAAGCATCTTTAACTATTTTGTTTTGCCACTTGGATTTCTTCGGCCAGTTTTCTGTTTCCTTTCCTGGATGGAGTTCCATCCTCCTCCAGGCTGGCCATCTTTGACCCTGATGGACTCTTCAGATAGTCCTTGGTCTGCTTTTTGCAATTATACCCAAACTCAAAGGATTTTTCTGAGACATTCAACAAGTTTCCAAAGAGAGTTAAGTTTAAGAAACAAAAGAAAGAAAATCCAAGTCGTGTAACAGAGCATTTGTCCCTTATGAAGATTTCTATAAGTTTACATTATGTTGATATATTTATTTATAGACAAATCTCTCACGCTCATTTATCTACATTTATCTGTCTATATATTGCTTCTCAAATTTTCTCTGATGTTCTCTGCCTAGTCCTTGTTCTTAGGGTAGGACTGTCCCTGAAGGCATTAAGGCCTGTGTCCTAAGGCCCTGGGGTAATAGTCATTGATGAAGGTCATGGAGCATCTTCAGCTTCTATTTATACTGTTTTAGTCAGTTTTTCCTTGCTGTGACCACAATACTGGACAAGAACAACTTAGAGGAGGTCAAGTCTATTTTGGCTCATGGTTTCAGAGATTTTTTAGTCCATGGTGGGCCAACACCATTGCTCTGGGCCCAAGATGAGGCAGCACATATGGCGGAAGGACACACTGTATTCATGGCAGCCAGGAAGCAGAGAGTAGGAAGGGCCATGGAGCAAATGTCCACCCCAAAGACTCACCTTCTCAAGCCATGCCTCACCTGCCTACAATTACCAATCAATCAATATTACTGATCAGATTACAGCTCTCACAATCCAATCATTTCACCTCTGAACATTCCTGCATTAACACAGGAGTTTTGGGGGACTCTCTTCTATCCAAACCATAACCTATATTGTATGTGTACACACACACACACACACACACACACACACACACACACACACACACTATAGAGGCTCATGACCAACTAATGGTGGAGCCAGAACTGGAACCCAGGTCTTCTGATTCTCAGACCTGTATCTTCTCTTCAGTGTTCAGTTGGTTTTTCTAATTTACTTTGGTCTGACTCAAGAGGCATGACTGGCCATGTACACACACTGGCAGCTCTCGACACGGGTAGTAGCTTAGAGATGAAGCTGATGAGTGGGACTCGCCTCTGATGTGCTTGGATGGGAAGATGGCAGAGCCTTCAAAATGGCCTTGGAGCCTGTCATGAGTGAGATGGAGTGGCGAGCCTTCTGTGTGCACTTGCAGGCTGTGCCACTCAAGGATCCAACCAGCACTGGTCTAGAGGTTGCTGAGGAGGCAACATGGTCCTTCAGTAGAGGACATGACCCTGGGTAGTAGGTGGGCCAACCACTCAGTTGAAGGCCTTGGAAGCAAAAACAAGTTTCCCAGAGAAGTGGGAATTCTGCCTCAAGCCTGCAGTGCCCACTCCTGAGCCTGCGTCTGTGCCTGCCCCTGCCCCCTGCCCTTCAGATGCCCGCTCACGACTGTAGCAGCAACTCGCCTTGGGGATTTCAGACTTTTCTGTTCCTGCGATGACCTGAGTCACGTCCTTAAAATAAAGCTCGTCATACATACAGTCAGCCCTCTCTATACGTGGGTTCTACATCTCTAGATTCAATCAAGAGTGGATAGAAAATAGGCTTTCTAAATCCAGAAAACTCCAAAAAGCAAAGCTTAGTTGTGTTGCACGCTCAGGAATACACTGAATCCACACAAATAAAGTGCTGTGTAGGCACGGAACTGGGACTTCTGAGCGATCTAGAGATGACGGAAAATGTAAAGGAGGAGGGGTGCAGGTTGAGTGCAAATACTATGACATTTGGGGCAAGGGACTTGAGCATCTGTGAATGTTTTTGCTAATCATGGCAAGGGTGGGGTCCTGGAACCATTGTCCCTTGGTTACCATGGAACAACTATGTGTATACACACATATGTATGTATGCGCACACACACACACACACACACACACATCTCCTGTTGATTTTGATTCGGGGGGGGGGGGCACCCTCTCTGATACAGAGATTTGGTACTGCCTATATTTAAATGTTCGAGAGGAGGCTGTAAGCCCGGAGGCTGCAGAGCAGAACCTCACAGAGCCATTCTGGCCCAGATCCTGCTGCTGCCCCTCCAGGGCTTACTCTCAGTTGGATCTACTGTCTGGCTTTCCTAGCTGGCTGGTCCCTGGCCCCCTTCCATCCAGGAGGTAGATTGTCTTCATTCCTTCTTGGGTCTGTGAATAGCATCCCACGACAAGTCTGTGTCATCGCTGTGCACTCTTGGCATCTGCTCAGAAGCCCACCTCCACATGCCTGCCCCCTCTGATGCCTTCCTTCCCAAGCTGCTAGCCTCTGCCTCTGGGGTCTGTCAGCTGTGTTGATTGGGTCAGCTGCCGGAGTTGGCCCCTTCTTCTTGCAGGAGCTTGAGGAAGGGCAGGTGAAAAGAAAGCGGGGAAAGCCACCCATGATCCTCGGTTCGCCATTGGGCCATGGGCGGACGGTGCTCCCTCCCATGGCAGAGAAGCAAGGAGGGGAGAAAAAGTGCGTTGGAAGAGATCTGCCCATTAAAATCAAAACCAAACCAAACTAAGTAATGAAAATAAAACCTCTGAGGCTATGTAGCTCTGGGCCGAGGAAGAGGAGGAGGCTTGTCAGGGTAGGCCTGCACGGCTTCCTGTTTTCAGGCGAGCGGGGAGCATAGTGCAAACATCCTTCTTCATTTACGGTCTTTGTTCTTGCTCAGCCAGTGTGCTGTTCCATGGGGTGGCCTCGCGGGCGCATGCTCCCGGCTGCGTTATCTGCTTCACATCAAAAGAAAAAATGCATGAGAATGTGCTCCGAAGGGCTGGATACCGCACACATGCCACTTACGATCACAATCACGAAAGCTTGGGCTGGGACCTCGGGATTGTGTCCCTGTCCCTGAGACCTGTCTCCTCTCTGGGGCTGCATGTTAATGCACTGGGCGCTAACCTGAGCACTGGGGGACTCGCTCCCCAGCGGGTCCTTTAACGAACCCAGCTGGAGGCTGAGCGGTTCCATTTCTCCCGGGAACGTGATGACTAAAGATGACAAGATGAATTAGATGAGTAACCCATTCATCCAGCTCCTTCGAGCATCTCCTGTTCTCAGGCTATTCCAGTGGCTTCTTTTGCCGTCTCCTCCCAAGATCCAGAAAATCCATTAGCACCCCTCTGCTTTGGCCCCAGAAAGTCCCAACTGATCCCAGTTTCCCCAGCATAGTTAAGGTCACTTTCCCCTTCTCAAAAGTCCTCTGGTTTGGATGTCAAATTCAAGGCACTCTCTATGGGTTGCCCTTCTGCGCCACTGTTAAAAAAAAAAAAAATTAGAGGCATTTCTAGAAGCTTAGATGGGGCTTGGTCCTGAGAAGGAGGCTTGGAAAGAAATGCTTATTATCAGACCAATTTGGCTATTCAATTATCTGGAATTTGAGGCCTACGGAAAGTCCAAGGCAGGGATCTGGGAACGATTGTGCTTGGCTTCCTGTGCAGCCCAGGAGTGGTTGGATTTGCAGGAAGAGCAGGCGACCAGAAGTGGATGGGGGTGGAGTATGTGTGATATTGTCGCTCCAGGAAAAATTAGCCCCAGCTTTTAAATCCCATCAGCAAAGTGCTGAGGATTCAAGTCAAGGGTTTCATGCAAGAAATCGGGCCTGGGGAAAATGGCAGACTTGAGTTAAAAATACAAGTGTGAGAAGAATTGGTTTCTGAGCCTGGTATGTGGCAAGATGTTACCACATGTCTAGTGGCTGGGTAGCTCTCCATACATGTCATTTGTTTAGAATTTGGCACGTTTCGGGGCCTATTTGCATGCCTTCTTCTTGCTTGGGGCTCAGAGAAATGGGAGGAAGGGAGGCCCGTATTATTGTCTGAATTTTTTACTTTTTCGGACAAGGAAATCTGCACAGTTAAAGGGTGACCCAATCTAGTGACCCCCACTCTGAGTTCTTTCCAACTCATTTTACCATGGAGGTCATTTGGAACTGGCCAAAGCACTTTGTATTTCTGGTAGGTGCTTGGACACCTGCTGCCAGATGATTTGCTTGTGGGACCTACGCTGGGGTTTGGACAGTTGGACAGTTTGCAACCTCATCCGCAGCTGGGCTAGGGGAGCTCGGCAGTGTTAGGAGATGAGTGTAGAGCTACTGTCGCAGAACTGACGTGCTAAGGGACCGGGCCCACTCGCTCCTGTTTCCGACCTGCGGGACTCCTGCCAGGCACACACCCAGAGGCAGGAAGCACGGAGTGGAGGCCAGGTCAGAGCTGTGTGCAGCGTGGCTTGAGCCCGGCCGCGGGGCCGCATTCTCACTACGTGATTGGGAACATGTGAAGGCAGGGCAATTGAACTGCGGGTGACCCCGCGGAGCAAGGAGGCTAATTAAAGCTCCTCTCCCCACACTTCAGTCAAGCCCCGCCTGCCCTTCCTCCTGATGGTGCTGCTGATAAGGAGGGATTGAATTTATGAAAAGAGATGAAGATGTTTGGATAAGCCGCGCTACCAAGGCAAGCTGGCCCGGCGAGTCAGGGCCTGACGGAGGAGCAGGGTGGCTGACAGCGTCGTTAGGGGCAGGCACGGAGGAGGAGGGGAGGAAGGGGGAGAACCCCTGCTAAACACCACACCCGCAGGCCTTGCCTCCCGGATGCTCGCCTTCGAAGTTCAGGTGGAGGTTTGCTGAGAGCAGGCTCTGCAGGAGATGGCTGGGCTGTCCCCATGCCACCTGGCAGCCTACAGCTCCCAGACCTGTCACCCGCTTCCAGAATCAGCAGGAGAACATGGGAAAGGATGGGAAGCTAGGGAAGAGCATCTCTCATCTGGAGGCACAGAGCAGGCCTGGGCCAAGGACTTAATGTGCAGGATAGCACTTTACCATTTCATATGGTTATCATTTGGCCCAGTGAGTTGACGTGGGAAGAGAAATTCAGAGAGGTCAGGTAACTTGCTCAAGGACACACTGCTAGTGTTGGAGAGATCTGGAATCAAAACCAAGAAACAAATTAAAAACAACAGCAACAAAAAAGTGAAGCAGCGAGACTCTGGAGTCTTTGTTTCAAATGAATAAACTCCAAGCCAGTCTGTTGGCAAGGTGGGGGTCCCAGAGTGTCTCCTGGGAATGGAGGCTGAGTTCCTTGGCCAGTTGGCTCCTTATCTGCGCTGCTCCTCTGCCCTGCTAGTGGCTGCTAGGAGCTGGTGCTGGCCATGGACTGGGGACTCTTCCACCCTGAAGCCCTCGGCACCGGCTATGGAAGCACCAAGCTTCCAAGATCTTTGGCGTGAAATGCCCCAGCCTCTGCCGCCTCCTTCCCTGGGGCGCCTGGGGCTCTCCGCCTGCTCCCCTGGTCTGGCCCTGTGTTTCCTAGTCCCACCTGCCTGGGGCCATGGTGGCTGCCAGCTTTGCTTCTAGACGCACCTGCCACACTGAGCCCGTGAGTCACAGGAGCAGGATGGAGGCCTCTGGTGCCTGAAGGGGGCTGTGTCCCTGAGGTTGGAGAGGGGCTAGGGGAACCGCAGGCCTGTTGGCCTGAGCCTGGTACACTACAAGGGACAGATATGTCACTTTCTAAATGAAAGTCTTGCTGGGAAGGAGGGAGGAGAGGTGGGACCTGTGTTCAAGTTGTCCTAACTTGAGTATCTTGGGTTTCAACCTCCTCCTGCCTCCCAGAGGCCAGCTTCGAGGAGAGGCCAGTGAGCCACAGGGACTCCCCTCTGGGACAGCCCTTCCCCAATAGAGTCCCCTCCCCCACCACCACTTTTCCGAGTGAAGACTCAAACCATTTGAATGAGCCAATCCCACGGGCAGGGTGTGGCCGCCGATGCCGGGCCCTGTGGGTACGGAATCCATTATTTTCAACACCAGAGTTTCCATGCGTTTTCCCTCTTTTGGGAATGCCTTTCACCAGAAAGGCCTAACTATGAGCCAAATAATCAAGACCGGGACCGTCTGGTCTGGTCGGATGCAGCTGAAGTGGGGAGGGAATAGGAAAGCGATGCCGGGGTGAAGGAAATGCCCATGTGCTCTCGGACGCCACCAGGCTGGTCAAATGCAAGGCACGGTGTCCATCAGCCCAGGTCACTGAAGTCAACCGTTCAGACGTGGTTTTAATGTTGGTCATGGTGCCCAGAACTCATTTCATTAGTGTCAGTTTAACAGTTGGTTACATGGGCCAGGGGTAATATTAATGATTACTGTTAGTTAAGCGGACATGAGCTTTGACATAAAGTGCCGCGGGCAGGCGGACTCTGGCAGTGGCTGTCTCGGCAGTGCCCCTCTGTGCCACCTGCCATAGGCAGGGGTACCCAGAGAGTCCCAGGAGAACCAAGCAGAAAGATCCCTGTGGAACCGTGGGTCTGGCTGGGCCTGGCCTGGAGCTCAGCCCAGGCCGCCCTGGGAAGGGTTACTGCCTCCCTTTGGGGCTGAGTCACTGTCTGAGCAAGACCTTTCTCTGCAGAACCAGAGACCGGCCCAGAAGGCAGCTCCCCAGATCCCCTGAGAAGTAGAGAGAGCAGCCCCCGGGCCTCCGTCCCTGGAAGGAAGCCGCCCCGCCCGAGCAGTCTAAATTGGGTTTTCCTTGTGCCAAGAGGGGAATGCCCACCAGTGATTTACACAGACATTTATAGAAAGCATACAGGTTTACTCATTCATAAAATGGAAGAACAGTGTGTTTTTTGCCCTGGCTGGGCTCTGGGGCAGCTCTCAGGGTAGTGGGGCTGATTGTAATCATTTCCGGACATGCCCTGATTTGCCCACGGGGAGAAGGCCAAGGTTGCATGGGAACAGGCTGCAGATGGGGCCCTGAGCATAGCACAGGCCGCCTGCCCCATGGAGCGGAGCCAAACTGAACTGCTAGCAGGGGTCCCCTTCTGGCGCTGGCCCCCAGCCCTCCCCGGCCCCCCAGACACTCTCCGACTGGTGGGTGGGCTGTGCCCTGGCCGAGAGGGCCACCTGATGAACCCCAGGAGGAAGGGGCTCCTCTGGCACTGTTGGGTGGTCTGGACAGGGTTCTGTGAAGCCTGGCCCAACGGCAGGGGCAGCCCAGCGAAGCCAAGTTTGGGCCTCCCTTCCCCGAGCAGCCAGTGCCAAGCCGGCGATGACTCACCATGCCAGTATCTTCCCATGTCTGTACCCAGCAGCCTGGCCTGTGGGCCTGGCGGGTGGGCAGGCAGCGGAGAACCAGTTTAGTCAGAAGCCACAAACCGAGAGATAGTGATTTGATTCCGATGCTGTTCCGACTCCAGCTCAAGATGCCGGGAGCCGTGGGCTGGGCTGTGGTGGTGGGTGTGTGACCAGCAGATCTGGTGAAAACCAGTTCTGAGCCACAGGCACAGTGGCATCTTCTTTACCACTGAAGGCCCAGGGACTTGGCTGAAGGAGGTGGGAAGTTTGGGCCGGACGCCCCCTCTGAACCATCCCTGGAGGAGCGATCCCAGAGGTCCTCTGCCATGGGACTCCCGGGGACCCACGGGAGCCCTGGGCGCAGGAAAAACAGAAGCAAAGGGGAGAGGGGAAATAAAGGGTGGGCAAGGGGCAAAAGTGATCCCTGCTTGGCCCCCCTGACGCAATTCTGCAGACAGAGCTGCTGAAACAACAGATGCTTATTGCTCACGGTTTGGGAGGTCAAGCTCAAGGTCAGGGTGCGGGCACAGGTGTCCTCTGAGGTCTCTCTCCTTGGCTGCATGATAGCTGCCTTATTACTGTGTCCTCATGTGGCCATCTCTGGGCATGACCAAGTCTCTTCTTATAAGAAGAGCAGTCACCCTGGATTGAGGCCTCCCCACATGACTTCATGTCGCCTTCTATTCTTTGAAGGCCCAACCTCCAAACTCAGTAGTGGTTTCCACGGATCAAGGGCTTCCCTGGCCAGGCACGGAGCTAACCATACATAGCCCAGAGATATAGGTGTTATCATCCCTATTTACAGAGGAAATTGAGGTTCATGGATGTTGAAGTAGATAAATCAATGTTCCGGTTGCCTGATTCTGAAGCCCCCAACTTTTTTTTTTTTTTTTTTTTTTTTGGTATGGGGATTGAACACAAGGCACTTAACCACTGAGCACATCCCCAGCACTTTAAAAAAAATATATTTTATTTAGAGACAGGGTCTCACTAAGTTGCTTAGGACCTTATTAAGTTGTTAAGGCTGGTTTTGAACTCACCATCCTCCTTCCTCAGCCTCCCAAGCTGCTGGAATTATAGGAGTTTGCCACCACACCTGGCCAAAGCTCCCACTTTTAAGCAAAAAAAAAAAAAAAAAGAAAGAAAAAGAAAAAAGCAAGGCTACAGGAAGGAAAAAGTATAAGGGTTCAGGTTATATAGTGCTGGTGACCACAATCCTCTGCAGAATCTTGGTGGCCATGTGGCCTCCTCTTTTTGCTTAGGTGGAAACAGAGACTCAGGATAAACACACTCCCTACAGTCCTGTTTTGAGGGACAGTCAACGCTGCATGCCTGTTTGGGCCATCCTCTGACCAGCACAGACTGACCACGTGAAAGCCGATAATCTCCTAATCCGCAGGACATGCCCTCTTTCTGACCCGGGGGAGAAGAGCGGGTGTGGTGCCTGTCTTGCTTGGATGGGTCCCCTTTGCACCGCGACTCCTGATGCTCCCAGACTTCCCGCTCTGGGTGTTGCTCCTGGTAGAGATGCTCCCCCTGTACAGCTGCTCTACCCTCTTCCGAATCTTGAAGTCGCTTTGACAGGACCAAGGGCACGAAGCAGTGCCCACTGTTGGCTTTGGGGTTCAGCCACAGGCTCATACAGCCTGATTAGGAGCCCTCCTATCAGTGTGGGAGCCCAGGGTGGGCAGCCAGTGGGGACCCATATGGGTACAGGCGCACCGTTGGGTGTGTGAGGCAAGCTGGGGGAAGGAGTCCCTAGAAGTGGGTGCCCATGTTTGCTTTCTGTCTAGAATGACCCACGGGGGTAGTGTGACTTCACCTTCTGGGGTCCCAGGGCAGGGGACCGTGGTCTTAGGCAGGTTTCCTGGCTTTTAGGACTTTGGTTTTGCCATCTGCAAAATGCAAGTGGAAACACCTCGTGCAAGAATTCTCCACGGGAGGATCCGTGGGGGGCAGGGAGCAGCGTGTGGCAGAGATGGACAGCTCGGGCACCGGAGAGGAAGATGGTGAAGCAGACCCATGTGTGGAGGCTGCTCAGCCCTGCACGGAAATCCACAAACATTCCAAGAATGTGGTATTTAGAGCTTCATGTCTCTGCCCTGTGTCTCTAAAGCCTTCCTTCTCAGCTCCAAGAGGCTGCTCTGAAAGAGAAAGGCAAAGGAGCCCTTTCTACGGAGCCCCTGTAGGAGTTTCTTACACTCCCAGAAGGTCTGTTTTACATGGGACTCATCAGCGTCTTGACAAAGTGCATTCCCCCCCCCCGCCCAGGATGGTGGAAAGGGCCAATGGGAGCTTCCTCAGCGACCTTGAAACTCTCTGTCCTTCTAGATGCTTCTGCAGCCTTTGGGTTCCATGGGAAGCGCAGGCCAATAAGGCCACTCTTATGACAATTTTGAAAAATCACATAAATTTTTAAATAAGAATGAGGTCTTGGTAAAAGGACCCAGAAGCCACCTTGAAAGAGGATCCCGTTGGGCAAATCTGGCACAAGTTGGAACACCAACATAATGTCATACAGAAAAAAAATGTAAGGCATGAAAAACAGGAAGTTGTGGATCCCTGCGAATGATATAGATAGATGATAGACACATAGGAGAAAAGGGTGGATAGCTTAGTCAGCTTTCCATTGCTGTGACAAGATACTGGAGTAAAATAACTTAAAATGAGAAAAGATTTATTTTGGCTCATGGTTTCAGTGCACGGTTTTGGGCCCCATCATTGCAGGTCTGGTGGTGAGGTAGACCATCATGGCCGGGAGCACATGGCACAAGAAGCTGCTCACCCCACGGAAGTCAGGAAGCAAAGAGAGAGGGAGAGGAGGGTGGGGTGTCCCAATATCCTCTTCAGGAGCATATCCCCAAGGATCTACTTCCTTCAATTAGGCTCACTTCCTAAAATTTTACCACTTCCCAGCAGTGCATTCAGCTATGAATGGATGAACCCATTGGCTCATCAATGAATGAATTCATTGGTGAGGTCAGAGCCCTCAGGAGGCAGTGACCTGCTAAAGTCCCTGTCTCTGAACACTGCTGCATTGGGGACCAAGTCCTCAACACATGAGCTTTTGGGGGATCCAAACCCTAACAGTTGGCATTCACTAGTAGAACCCTAAGGGCTGACAGTAGTCTCTCACCATGCACAAAAATCAACTCAAAGTGGATCAAAGACTCAGGCACTAGAACAGAGACCCTGCGCCTAATAGAAGAAAAAATAGGCCCAAATCTTCACCACATTGGCCTAGGATCTGACTTCCTTACCAAGACTCCTAAAGCACAAGAAGTAAAATCAAGAATCAATAAATGGGATGGATTCAAATTACAAAGCTTTTTCTCAGCAAATAAAACAATTATTAAAGTGAGGACAGAGCCTACAGATTGGGAGATTATCTTTACCACATGCGCCTCTGATAAAGCATTAATCTCTAGAACATATGAACAACTCAAAAAACTTAACACCAAAAAAACCCAAATAACCCAATCAATAAATGGGCTATGGAACTGAACAGACACTTCACAGAAGAAGAAATATAATTGATCAACAAATATATGAAAAAGTGTTTAACATCTCTAGCAATTAGAGAAATGTAAATCAAAACTAAGATTTCATCTCAGTCCTGTCAGAATGGCAATCACCAAGAATATAGGCAACAGTAAGTGTTGGTGAGGAGGTGAGGAAAAAGGCACACTCATACATTGCTGGTGGGACTGCAAATTGGTGCAACCTATGGAAAGCGGTATGGAGATTGCTCAGAAAACTGGGAATGGAGCCTCCTTTTGACCCAGCTATCCCTCTCCTCGGTCTATACTCAAAGGACTTAAAAACAGAATACTACAGGGACACAGCCACATCAATGTTTATAGAAGCACAATTCACAAGAGCTAAACTGTGGAACCCACCTGGATGCCCTTTGACAGATGAATGGATAAAAAAAAATGTGGTATATATATATATATATATATATATACACACAATGGAATATTTCTCAGCTTTAAAGAAGAATAAAATTATGGCATTTTTTCAGTCAATGGTTGGAGTTGGAGATATAATGCTGAGTGAAATAAGACAATCCCATTAAACCAAAGACTAAATGTTTTCTCTAATATGTGGGTGCTAATTCATGGTAAGGTGGGGTGGGGGGGCACTAGGGAAGAATAGCGTTACCTTAGATTAGGTAGAGGGAAGTGATGGGAGGGGAGGGGAGGGGATGTGGGGATAGGGAAGATAGTAGAATGAAATAGGCATTATTACTGTATGTATATATGTGACTGCAGGACCAGTATCATTCTGCAACATGTACACTCAGAAAAATGAAATTATATCCCATTTATGTATGATATATCAAATTGCATAAATGCATTCTACTGTCATGTGTAACTAATTATAAAAAAAAAAAGAATCAGTGGAGTAGTGGAGTCCAAAAGCCACCATTGTGAACTATCTTGGTGAAAACTGGATTAAGTAAGAGTCATCCGTGAATCGGTAGAAATTTTGTTGAGGATCAGGATATTTGCCTCATCTGAAGCTGGATCCTCTCTGGCTGCTTATTATTTGCAAAGGAAGAAAAACACAGAACCAGAAAAGCAGGGACCTTGGGAATGTCTTGGCCAGGTGATCAGAATTACCATCACCCACGAGGGACAGATGACCTTCTGCATCCTGGAAGGACACTTATGTGACATCGGCAGCCATGAACAACATGGTCTATTCACCAGGTCCCCGCAAACGCCCAGGAGGGACATTTATCTAAGAGAAAAGGAGGTGTTTTGGGCCTGTACTCTTTTTTTAAAAAAAGTCAGTGTCATAAAAGATTAAGAAAGAGAGCCAGGGCACCCCCATGCAATGCTTGACTCGAGTGGGATTCTGTGCTGGAGGGCGACCGCAGCACCACGGAAATTATTTGATTAACTGACAAAACTGGAATGCGGACAGAGGCAAATTTGGAAGGCTGATTGCTGTGCCGCGGTTATGTTATTGCTATTTAAAGGACCGTGACATATGTAACTCACCCTTCAATGGGTCTTGCTCTGTGCACATCCATGGGGAAGGAAGGAGTGAGAATTAATGGGGTAAAGCGTCAGCAATAAGCAACTCTGGCGAAAGGTTCTGTGGGCATTTCTTTGGATATTTCTCCAACTTAATGGGGCTTTGAAAATTTCCCAAAGAAAAGACAAACAAAACAAAACAAATAGCACAGCACCCTCACTTTGGCGTGCTGTATCAATTCTGACGGACACTGAGAAAAGATGGGCATCTAGTT